ATATCCGCCTAAATTCCCGTGTATAACCACTGCTTTAGTGCTCTTCCTATACATAAAAACCTCACTGTGCATATTATCAACGAAAATATCTTTAAAAACAAGTACTGTGAACTAATTATAGTAGCGTAAATAGATACGTAACACTAATACAACATATTCCTAAGTAAAAACGTTAAAAGAAACAACGAGCGCCGTATGAAACACGTCCTAGAAGAAAACACAAAACAAAATTCGAACTCTCGGCGACAATTCAAACGAAAATAGCATCATATCCAAAAAGTCTCAAGTTTCTTAAAAATTTAATAATTATTATCAATATAGTCATTAATGGAATTTCTTCTGGGAGTAGGGCAAAGTATACCCTAGAATTAAGTTTGTTGTGTCAAAATATCCAGTTTTTTTATCGAAGTTAAATTTGTGTGTATTACCCATGTACATAAGCTTAGGCCTACGCGTTTTGTGATTTTTATCTATAGTTGGTACAGGTATAGGCCCAATATACATGCACCCTATGATAACAACATAGCGCCATCTACTGTTTATTGAAATATGCATCCATATTTTCAATACGAAACAGTCTATTGTGTTTGTTTTTCGTTTAACATTATATGTTTAGTTCAACCATTGAAACAAATTTCACCCTCCTGATTCCTGACAAAAAAAAATGGTATTTTTGACCTTGATCCTCACACACCAGGTTATATAAAACTAATACATCATAGTACGTCAGCGGGTGCTAAAGATTACCTACTTTATTTCTGGTATATTCAAGAAAGAGTATTCTACATAGCAGAGTAAGGCTATCATATCTATTCACGTTTGCATCCCAATTTATGTTGGATGATTTCTGACAGACTATATAACCATGTCTAGAAAATACAAGTTAATTAGGTCAACCTCAACAGAATCTTCAAAACAGGAAATAAAACTTTATTCAACTGGATATTAAACCATACTAAAATACCAGTACCTCTATTCAAGAAAGCCCAATTCTGGTTGATAATAATGGGGCAAGTAAAAACTCTTGGCAAACAATATGTTAAAGTTTTATGAATTCCAAAAATGTGCTAAAATAACTGGATCAATAAATTGTTGAAAGCAAAGACGCAACAATGTGTTGCTTGACATGTGTGATATGTTCAGTAACACATATTTCTTCTATGCATAGCAAAGTATATTCTAAATCCATCAATGTACAAGTTACTCTTAGCTAACCAACAGAACCAATGTGTATATTTTTGTAAATGAGTTAAGGGAAGATCATCAATGCTTCGGGGTGGGGGACATTCCAGCATGATGCTATAGCTGTAAATTAAATGACATTAGATAGCTTGCAAAATTTGTAGCAGGAGTGATTGTTTCAATAGGAACTAGGATATTAATGAATTTTACTGACATGTTTGATCACAATGAATCATCAGACCAAGATATTACATATGCAGAACTGTAGTCTTTTGTGGAAGATGCCAATAAGAGGCTAATAGCACAAGTGTTTAAACTGGAAAATTTAGCCAACTTGTGCTTATCTATATACATAAAGATGAAATGTGGGTTTTTTTTGCACCCTAATTCTTCCGAGCCTATTGGGCCAATCTAAACCAAAATTGTTTTGTGAATACTGTGAACTATTGGGAATGTCCTAAGCGGATCAAAATTGAATTAACCCTATTTCTATTTTATAAAGCCTGTTGGTTAATTACTACCAGCTTTTTGAGTCAATCTTTAGACAATGGTGAATATTATAAAAGGATTCAAGGTCAAAATATGAAAGTTTGCTGGATTGTTTCTCAAACAATCATGTTTTTCTCATGGTCAATGAGATGTAGGGTGTTCAAGGGTGGGATCACCTCAATATTTTTATTTATTGGTAGATGGAAACAAACTGCAAATGTTGCTAATGAAGAAACTTTGTTATCATCTTAAAATTTTGAGATAGTTTATGTTCAAGTTATTACTTTGAAATATATGATCTGTTAAACTTACATTACTTTAATTATGTTTAAACATTCCCCATCAGCTATAACTAAGAAAATATTTTGTTACATTTTCTGGGCTTAAGAGAAGTTATTCACAGCAAGCATGTGTTTCTTTACATATGAGAAGTATTGAATATGAAATGAGAAAATAGTTTTGATTTGCATGCTATCAGTATTCATAAGTGGCTAAGGTTGTTCACAATGATGAATGTTTTTAATGGCT